CAAATTCCACCTGCATCCTTGTGACTAGGGTTCTCACTCGGCTCCCTCCTGAACATGTTCATTGAGCTACCTAAACTGCTGTTCAGAGGCTCACAGTTCTCTCTATCACAAGGCAGGAGAATTAACTAGAATTTAAACTTATTTGGAATACAGACTTGAAACCTAGATCCACAGGCAGTCAGCCCTTAAGGTGAAAACCAGCTAAAGGTGAAAACTAGAACTGACCTCCCTGCCTCACAGAATCCACAGTCATGAGTGAGGCTCTCAGGCCCCCTCTACCACAGTCCTGCAAAATAGGACTGACAGAAGCCAGCAAAGAGGAATATGAAACAACTGACCCGACGATAAGAAACTTGAGGAAGAAAGAGGGAACTAATTTTGTCAGTCAAAGGGACTAAATCCAGAAAGTCTCCAGATCTCTCCTATGGGCATGATATAACTGCCAGTGTCCAAGACACGGATACACATGATGTGTCCAGTGACTGAGCAAGGATCCAGCCTTTTTCATCCAGTATCACTGCTGTGGTTACAGCACTGCTCTGTAGTGCACAACCAAAAGCACCATCTTGACCAAGTGAAGTGACAAAGCATGATGTTCATGAGGGATTCATAAATCAGGCTTTGAAGATCCAATCCAACAGGTATACCCTTGGCATGCTGACACGTTAGGCAATTCTGTGGTTAAGAATTTACTGCTACTTCCCAAGTAAATATTGCAGGATCACTTCTAACTATAAAGACTGTCTCAATTCTGAAAAGCTAACTTACCTGCTGCTCTGATTTTACTAAATTATAAGCTTAAAAAATCATGATAATGTTTATAATTTGCAAAGATTATTATTTTATAATATAGGTAGTTGAACTTCTGTAAATTACATGCAACAAATTGTAAATTCCTGCAAATCACCACCATAACTAACTGTTTTCACAAAAGGCACTTAAATCACTCAATCAAATCACTTTCGATTTTAGCTGTTGTGCTTTTGGGGTGCAGAGAAGCAAAAAAAAAAGTTAGATGGTGGATATTCTAAGTGACATATTATAAGTTAACCTATTCCACACCCCACTCAGTGAGATGCACAATATTCCTGAGAAGTGCTATGAGAAATGTTGAAGTACAGTGACTTTGTACAAACATGGGTGGAGTTGAAATTCATCATTGATAGGAGACTGGTTCAGCCTTAAGAATGCTAGCACTGTATTTGTCTTCATTACATTACCCAACAACATGTGAACCAAACAAACTTGACTGTAATTATTCTGACATTCCAATGTTTTATAATGTGATTTAAAATCATTCCAGGAAACGAAAAATCCAACTTGTTTGACCTCCATAATACGCTTAAACAAAACCCAAGCTTTAGTCTCATAAACCCAATATTTGCTGTAGAAACAACTGAACTGTAACTGCACTTATCAAGCTTCCTAGTAAAAAAATCCATAATTCTCTTCAGTAGCAGGAGTCAAAGTCCAAGTTTTGGTCATTTAAAAAAAGTCTGTTCTTTTCAAGTTGTTGCTGTTCCTTCTAAAACCCTCCTGTCCCTCTAAACATGTTTTCATGGAGAATGTGGTTGAGCAGAACTTGTCCTTGTACACTAAATGGAATTCATTTCAGTGATGTGTTCTTCTCACCTTATGAAATGCTTTCCCATTGACATTTTTGTGTGTTCACATCTCTCACTAGTCAGAGAAGATTCTTCCACTGTGTCATTATTCCATTAACTTCCCTATATTATCTGTCCAGCTTAACAGGTGAAGTTTCAATAAACAAATATCACAAAGAAGAAAGTACAAGTGAGGCAGTTGTTTGAAGTTTCTCCATTATTTGAAAGTTCTTCAACGATATTCCTGTTACATGATCCTCAGTCCTCTGACTGCAAGACTGAAGTCTTCTCTGGTTTGGTATTTCTAGATAATTGTAAGAATTCCAGACATAGAGTTACTTAGCTCATGCTACCAGCTTCCTGACAAAGGTAGAGCTGCTTTGAAACACTGAAAACCATTTAACTATGAGTCAATACATAATATGGTAGCAAAAATGTAAATTTTTATTAATAGACTCGGAAAAGTGAAACAAAATTACAGTCACCTAGGAATGATTTGGTGAAAAACATTGACATAAGCTATTTCCTGGAAACAGTGAAGCACTGCTGAGGGAGAAAAGCAAAGGCTACTTTAAAAATAACCTTTCTCCTAGGCACAAAAGAACATTGAATGTCCTTATCAGGGAGAAGTAGCAAAGCCTGTCTCCCCAGCCCTACAAAGAAGTGCTTGGAATTCAAGACACAGTTTACCAACACAAGTAGAAATTCAGGTCAGAAAAAGTAGGAGACAGTAAGGCTTGTAGAAACATGCCTGCCTGCCTATTCAGAGGCTTCACATTGTGATTCAATCGGATCTGCCTAATGCATGCTTCAAACAGCATGAGGTTATTCAGAAATGTACACACACACACACACACACACACAATGCCTCTCTCCTCCCTTCTCACAAGAAGGTCTCAGAAACTTGTCTACAGCATCCCTACAGGCTAAAACCACAGTCCCGCTTCCCTAAACACTGAAAATCAATGTTTCCACTCAAGCAACAACTAGGTTTTGGGATCTGTGAGCTACTCGAAGCTCATGAGGAGTTTATACTCACAGCTTCTATTAAAAAAATAAAAACAAACCCACAAAAACAAACAAACAAAAAAAAAACCAACAAAAAACCCCAATCAAACAAAACAAAACAAAACCACAAAAACCCCAGTTATTACCAGTAACCTCTCGGAGGTCTAAGAACCTTCAGATATTTGGAAGATGTTGCAAGGAGAACTCCAAGATGAAATGAAGGGAAAATTCATATTATTCTTGGCTCCTTCTCATCTGCTCCAATTATTTCCTTTTCTCATTCTTCTGAATGACCCCTAAAAACACTGTGTGCACTTATCTCTTAGACTTATGCATGACAATTGCATATTTTTATCTTCTTTCTCACAAAAGAAATTACACTAAGTATCGAGATCAATAAATATTTTAGTAGTTTCCAGAGGAAGTTATACTTATGCAAACCGAATCCTGTGCTGACTGAAGCCTGATTATATACTACATAACCAGTATATTTCTCAGGAATATTTCAGCCAAACGCCTATCATTTGACTTCAGTATTCTGAAGATTTCAAAAGGAGTCACACACAAAGAGTTTAGCTCACTATATTTACCAAAACAAAAGCTTATCCTACATGGACTTTTTAGAGTCTACACGGACTTTTTTTTTTTTTTAATAAAAAGTAATTTAACAAAGTATGTGTAGTGAGATTAGGAAAGTGAATTGTGTCACAACAACATTGCTTTTTGTTTATCAGCCAGTATTACATATAGAAGTTTTTGGTCAATTACAGCAGGTCAGATACTAATCTGAGCAACATCCACTCTCACTAGCAGCTAGATTACAATTTGACTCAGGTTGACCTACGGGTAGAAATTAAATCATGGATTCTGACACCATTTTTAGCAGGAGACAGAGTAGGATCAATAAGGGATACTCATTTCTCTAGACAGGGAAATCATCCTGTCTCATGAATTGCACAGGATCCCAAAAAACAGCTGATGTAGTCGTGCTGAAGGCTGGAGGAGATAAAAAGGAATTAGATACTCAAACACTTTTTGTTTCCTTTACACTAAAGTTTAGTTCTAGGAGAATGAAAATAAGTTTAAAATTTCCATGTTTAGAGACATGCAATACAATATAATAACCTCTTTTTCTCCAGATGCAGATTCCCACATAACTAGCTAATATTAGTTTTTTCTTTTTCATTTTCCTCTATCACTTAGCCAGGATCTACAGACACCCCCTGCAAAGCCCACAGAAAAAAGCCTCCATGATATGACACTGAGAACAGCAGGAACCTAGCCCATAATGAAAGCTCTTAAATGCTGCAATAACACAGATGAAGAAAAATTGACAGAAAAGAGATGTCACAGCTCTTGTCCTGTATAACAGTACCTTCAATCACTAAATAATCTGTTCTTCTCTGGCTAGGCTGTACTCAGATGTACTGCTGTCTAGATGAAGAAACTTCACTATCACCAGAATGCAAACTGTAACCCATATTACATATCATTTTCTTGTAGTCCAACCAAGAAAAAAAGGCAGCAAGTGAACTAATGTGCAAATTAAATTGCTTGTCAAATTCAGATTTGGTTTGTTGGGTTAATAGATAGTTAAGAGGTTTATATTGCTGCTGTTAACAGGATATGTACCTTGCAGACAGCCAGAGAGAGCAGAACCAAAAACCCCTGTCAATAACCTCCTTGCAGACCGGAGATGAGGGTGAGCTAACTATGTGGCCCTCTTCTACGGCTTCGACAAAAACAAAATACAAACCTACGCATTGTTGTTCAACCTATGAGGCATGAAACAGAAACTAAACCTAGCAATACTAAGCTACCAGAGCGTGAAACAACTGCCCATGTGGGGAAGAAGATGTTGCTCTTATGGATGCTTGATGGACCCGGATTATAGAGTTCTGAAGACACTCTGTTTACTCAGTTGGCTACTCAAATGGATAATTAGGTTTTATTAGCTGTAGTGCAGGCACTAAGCATCTTGAACACTTCATGCCAAAACATATCAGAACATATACCTGTCATCATGCCACTGAACTGAAAACTAGTACCGCACAGTAAAAGGCTGGAGGAAGTGAACACACAATAAATCTTCAATGGGAAAATTCAGTGATACATCCTTCTGCAATGCAAAAAATGCCATTGCCCTCACTGCTGAAGCATAAAGAACATCAGTTATATTTGTCATTCTGATATTTGTCATTAAAGAACAAATTTAGTAGAACACTTACATCCAGATTTCCTTAACAGAAAACTGTCACTTTATATGAAAATATGGAAATTCATAGGTCACATGCATAATTAACTCAACAAGAGAATGATGTATGAGTTTCAATTAAACACCAAACGCAGTGATGTCTTTTTCAAAAAAGAGTTTGAAAGGAACTGTACCTTTTCTAGAGTATTTCTTAATGCAGAGAGGTGCTGGTGGCCTGAAGCCCAGTGTCCCTGGGCTCTCCTTGTATTTATCTGTCCATCCTGCAGCGGTGCAGGCACCAAGGCACCGTACCTGCCCGGGCGCGGCGCCCCTCGGGGCGGTCTCCCCTGCTGACCGCCTCCCAGGCGCGCAAGTTTAGCCCTGTTTAATCACCTTCGAGACCCTTTAAACACACCCAAGGTTTGCCCCCTACGAAGGGGTTTCGGGGTGCTTGATTTGCCAAAGACAATTTACGAACTAGTTTAAGCTCTGGCAACCTTGCGGGGGATAGTTGTCTTTTTCCTCCCCAACGCACACGCAACCCCGGCGAATTCAGCCCGGCGCTCCAGGACATCCCACGGACGCACTCTCGGGTCTGGGGTCCGTGTCGGCGTGCGGGACGAAGGCTGGGAGCCGAGGGCAGGCTCGGCAGCCGCGGG